ACACACACTCATGCTCCCGGCGTTATTCGTTTTTGCATTCGCATAAAATGCAAAAAAAAAAAAAGTTTTTACCAGGTTTTTCAGTCAGTAACTTAGTCGAAAGCGTACCGGCTGCCAGTGCGTGGATGCGTTTTTTGCACAGTTCCTCCGCAGGTTTTTTTCGCAAATGGCACGTTCTTCCCGGCAGATGCTTCAGTGGTGAAAACACAAGTTTTTTCTTTCCGACCTTGACTTTTTTGGAGTTTCCTATCGTTATTATGCTTAAGCTCAATCGTTTTTGTCAGCTAGAGGTAATGTAGGTATATTTATGCGATAGCAAATAACAGTAGAAAAAAAATGGTGAAAAGTACGGTCTGATGTTGGCGGACGGTGTGCTGATGTTGGTAGACGGTGTCTAGTCGATGTGCTGATGTTGGTGGTAGACGGCGTCTGGTCGGTGTGATGATGTTGGTAGTAGACGGCGTCCGATCGGTGTCGAAACAAATGTTAACACTAAAAATTTGCCGGAAAAATCAGCTACCGAGCCCATCTGGAGCTCCGCCTCGCTCCAGTTGGGTCCAGCTTACACAAAAGGAGCTGAATACATGATTGATGTTGGTGCCGCTGTTTGACGACGGCACCGTTATACAAAGGAAGTTACGGTACTGCGAAACATAAAATCTTGTAATTTATGTATCTTTTCCGTTTGCTTTGTTTGCTATTTCCATTCGAGGCGCTTTTCCTCGACAGCTTCTAACTAGAAGAATTGGAACTGGCCACCACGACTGTTAGAAATTATTAAAATGACTCTCAATGAATGCCCAAAAAATTCAGTGCTCTGGATGCTTTGGTTGCGGAGTTACGCCAAATTTCACGTGTTCGTGCGTGAGTGGCAATGTGAATGCTTTCTTCGCCTGCTGCTGCTCAAACACGGTCCTGGGTAACGCTCAGAAAGTTTCAGCGCTCCAGCTGCTCTGGTTGCGGAGTTACGTCGAATTTAACGTGTTTGTACATGAGTGACAACGTGAATGCTTTCTTCGCTTGCGGTTACTCAAACAAGGCCCTGGATAGTGCTCAGAAAGTTTCAGCACTCAAGCTGACCTGGTTGCAGAGTGACAACGTGAACGCTTTCTTCGCCCGCGATTGCTCAAACACGGCCTCAGAAAGTTTCAGTACTCAAGCTGCCCTGGTTGCAGAGTCACGTCAAATTTCACGTATGTACACGTAAAACGTACGTGAGACGTGAAAATGATGTGAAAGTCGTTTTTACACGCATCTGGTCAAAGGCCACAGTCAGTTATGCTCAGAAAGTTCAGGTCCTCCGGCTGGTTCAATTCTAAAGTTACAAAGGCGCATGCGTAAAATTATCACGTTTCGTACGTGAGATGGAGAAGAGCTGACAAGTAATTTACTTTCACGGACACAACAGTGGGCGAAGAGTGAAGCTGCAAAATTGCAACTCTCTGCAGCTTACTGGCCAGCTTAAATCTAGAGTTCGCATGATGACAGTTTAAACTTTGACGTGTGCGTACGTGAGATCTGGAGGTGCGTGAAGGCTGAATTTGAAATCTTTGGGTTAGACTCGGCCAAGGAACAACTCTGTGAAGTTCCAGCCTCCTAGCATGGGTCGTCCCCCAAAAAAATTTCACTTGCCCTGACGTGAGAACTGAGCGTCCATTTTGAGGATATGAGCCCGCACGTATGTGTAGATTAAGCCACCAAATTTTTAGCCTTGTAGCTTTTGTGGATCTCAATATGAAAACTCGTTACAGACGCACACACAGACACAAATACACACACATACATACACACACGCATACATACACACAGACACACACACACACACAAAGACAAACCCTTGACAATATGCGTTTTTGCATTGCATAGCTGCAAAAAACGCACGACCCAGGCTGGAACGCACCGGGCGGGCCCGGTGCGATTATGCGTTTTTGCACTTCTTGTGCCGTAGCAAGACGCAAGGGGTCACAGTAGTTGACCCTGTGACATACTGGGCCTCGAAGTTCGGGGACTTAATTGTGCAACTGTGTGGTATGTCAGTTGTAGATGTCGGCTTCAGTGATCTGGCAAATGGAAAGGTGCTGGTCCGCAAACAAAGGCCACACTAGAAGAGTTGAATTTGAAATCTTTTAGTTGCACATAAGTAGGGAACATTCCCTTAAAATTAAAGCCTTCAGCTTGTCTCGTTCTCGAATTGGCAGTTTTTCCACCAAAATTTTCACGTGTCCGTACGTGATTACCAGACAGTTTTAAGGAGGTGAATTTAAAATCTTTTGGTCATACATGAATGGGGAACATTATCCTAAAGTTTCAGTCTTCTAGCTTTTTTCGTCCGCGAGTTAGTGATTTTCGCGCCAAAATTCCCATGTGCCTGTACGTGGGCCCTGGGCGCTTCTAAACATCTGATTTTGCTCGTACATGAATGGGGGACATTCCCTTAAAGTTTCAGCCTTCTAGCTCTTCCCGTTCCCGGGTTAGTAATTCTCGCGCCAAAATTTCCACGCGTTCGTATGTGGGCCCAGGGCGCTCCTAAACACCTAATTTTGCTCGTACATGAGTAAGGAACATTCCCCCAAAATTTCAGCTTTCCAACTTTTCCCGTTCGTAGGTTAGTGATTTTCGCGCCAAAATCCCATAGTTAGTAACTTTCGCACCAAAATTTTCACGTGCCCGTACGTGAGCCCCGGGCTGCCCTAAAGGCCCGAGTTTGAAAGCTTTTGGCCAAAAGTGAGTAGGGGACATTCTCCCAAAGTTTCAACTTTCTAGCTTTTCTCATTTACGAGTTATGAATTTTCCCGCCGCAATTTTCACGTGCCCGCACGTAAGCCCCGGGCGGTCCTGGGCAACTGAATTTGAAATCTTTTTGTCGTATACGGGTGGGGAAAACGCATCCGTTCCTGACTTTTCGGTAAAGTTGAGTATTCCTCACGCCTACTTGGGGGGAATTCCATTTCCTGGCAGAATTAAGACCGCACTTGAAATTAGAATGTTCCAGCGAATTTTCAGCCTTACAGCTTATTCGACAAGCGAAATATCCATTTCGCTACAAATATCTTTGAAGTGTCCTAAGTCGTGGCGCAAGTGCAAGTCGGTACTCATTTTAGGTATACTATTTCGTATACAGGAGTAAAACGTCCTAACAAAATTTCAGCCACTGTTTTCTGGCAAGTTTTCGAGTTAGCATAGTACCAAGTCGCAAAATTTGACGTGATCGTGCGGGCTACACAAGCGTGCGTTGCAGCTGGATTTGAAATCTTCTGCTCGCCCATGCACAGAGAATATCCCTGCTATATTTCAGCCTTCTATCTTGCCTGGTTTGCGAAATCGTTTCCCGCCGATAAATATGCATATTTTTTGGGGGGTCCATAGGCAGGGTCTAGGCGCGTTTGAGGGTAGATCTTAAAACGGGAGGGTGACGCACGGGGCAGGAATATATATCTGAAGTTTCAGCCTCCCAGCTTTCCTGGTTGCTGAGATGAAAGTGGGTGACAAAATTCACTCGCTTCAGCACACACACAAGCACATACACACAGACAGCCTCTCAAACAATATAAGTTTTTGCTGGTCACATTAACCTGCTCAAGCCCCGTTCGTCCAGTTAGGCACCACATGCGGATTCCGTTCGTGGTCCGGATTAAAACCAGTCGCGGGCTGGATCTGGCACGTGGGCCGCCGGTTGCCCACTTCTGAGGTAGGCTCTTACATAGTTTGACACCACTGATAAGTAACGGTAAGCATACACTCGTTTCTGAAATGTATCCTACGAACATCAATAACATCGGTTCTTCACACTGATCATCCAGACGGCTTTGGCAATTTTTGGTGAATAAATTGCAGTACGCAACAGATTTCCCTCCAAACACACACCCACTTATAAAAACACATGTATGCGCTCGAGGTTTCACAAATTTATGTTTTCGCTTGTGAAGAATACGGAAAAAGCGCATCGTAAAACAGCCTTGGCGGTTCTTGGCTATCCTGCTGGTACAAACAGAAGTGCAGAATTATTTATAGGATTTTTATTCATTATTTGCTCGGTTCAGGTCCGCTATATCGCTTGCACGTATTTGTTGTTTACATACGATTTATTTCATGGTCGTAGATCATATAAGTCGACTACGTTCGCTTGCAATTAGCACCAACAAGGCCGCTGCGAACCGCTGCATGCGATTTTGCACACCTTTGTTGCAGTACGGTTTCTTACAGCAGCATACTTTTCCTTTTAACTCTTTTTGCTCACAGCCTTCCTTTCCACTCTTGCAAAATCCATATTCGGCGCTTCTGTCGCAGTCCGTCACCTGAAAGTGTCAGTAAACTATGTGAGTATCACTCAAAAATGGGATCGTGGAAGTGGAAAAAAATTAGGGCCAAAACTGACAATGATACCGTTGGGCATCACTTGTTTGTAGCAGAATTCGGTGTGTGAGTCGCATGCTGAGACGCTTTGCTTAGCATTTACGCCTGAATAGCAGTATAACTCCTTGCTCAGCACGAGAACACGCCACATCTGATGCCAAGCAACCGCCAAGAAGATAAAGCTGAAAACCTAGGCATCCAGTTTTTGCTTTGACAAGGGAACGCTGTGATGAAAAGCAAGCAGCACAGCTCTGTAGGGAAAACTGCCTGCATACGGACTTGGAACAAGCTGTTCCAAATGCATGGTTTTGCAAGCCTAACAAATGGCCACACTGCAAGTAATGTGGCTTCCTCCTAGTGTGAGACTTTGTTTTGTGGTAGCAAAGAAATGAGACAAAATGATCACCGTCGCATCACGATCAGAGTTCGCAGCTGTGCACAAGAATTTCAATACCGAAGTTTCTGCGCTTGCTTTTCTTGGTATGACTTCGGAAAATCTGAAGATGCTATTCGATTGTACATACACCGGCAAAACATTCTCGAAAACGCTTAATTAAATACTGCTGCGAGATTTTTTCAAGGAATGAATGGGTGAGAATCATGCCAATGTAGTCAAGGAGGAAGCGCAGATTTACCGATCGAACATCATTCATCAGCCGACTCTGAAAAGCGACTGAATCGCACTGGAATGCAGAACTGACGAGAAACTGGACAATCCCTTTCAGGCGCTTTTGCATCACTGATGAAAGGGATGATGCAGTACAAAACGCTTACTGTCAATAGGTCTGCGTGCTTGTGTGTGTGTGAGTGTGCGTGTGTATGCACATGTGTATGTGTGTGCGTGTGTGTGTGATATCTGTGGAAGTTTCTCAGCTCAGAAGCTAGAGAAGCTAGGAAATTTAAATTTCACTGTGATGTTTGCTGTTCATGTGAGGCCTCATAAACATAAAGTAATTCCTCACTTGCTTTCGCATATCATGTACGAAAACCTGAAAAGTGAAATTGAAAAGCCTCCCTGGCATTTTAATACGGGAATTGGCATGATAGGAAGTTGGAGTTTACTAGGTGATTCCTGTCCGTATGCTACCCTAGAAATACAAATCCATGTCTAAATCATAAATCGTATTTGTTAAATTTCATAATTATTTTTCTAACTCAAAAATGAGACAGATTAGAAAACTGAAAGTCTGAAAGCATGATCATCCATTATGTTTTTATCTTAAGACATATATCAACTGGAAAATTAAGATCGACCAGAACATTTTCAAGATAACTGCGGATATCCAGCAGTGAAGCAATTAACAATCTTAACAGCAAGCGTCTGCTGGGCAAACTTGTGCAAAAACGTATGTTCTCATCGGATAACTGGTGCTAGAAGTTACTTATGGACTACGCATTTTGGGATCTACTTTGAACTGTTATATAATGAATTGTCGCAGTTGCCTGAACAGCAGTGATGAACAGACTTTCGCTGCTGGCATAGGACTCACCATCAACATCACTTACGAAATGGCCGTAAAACGACAGGATCTTAGCGCAAAAGGCAACAAAAGAAAAGGCCAGACATTGGCATGCATGAGGTAAACTGATAAACTTACAGGTGAACGCTTTGGACTTAAAAAATGCCAGCATTTTTGCTCACCTGGGTTAAAAAGTGGATATCCGCAAAACGGATATTCTAGACGATACTGATGATAATTTGGCTCAGATTTTATTGACGTATTGAAAATAGTTTGAAATTTACCCTCTGAAAAAAAAAGAACCTTGTGTTGTTTTAGCCGTAATACTTTCTTGAAAAGGAATTAACTGATAGCAAAACTGCCATTGTTGCTCCTTCCTAAGAAACTTAGGAAACAGTTTGCGTTCACAGCATATGGGCTTGCTTTTTAGATATAATTTTGGACTTCTTTTGATTTCTTTTTCGTGGAGCTTTAAATTATTTAGCTCTGTTTGAAGCAAGCTCATGACATATGTGTTTTTTCACAAGCAAGGTTTTAGGTGTCTTTCCAAATTTTATTCTGCCCATTACAACAAGCAAAATTGACGAAGAGCGCAGTGAAAATGCACCCGGACTACACAAAGGAACTACTAGGAAATGAGTCAGTCCGATGAACTTATCCAGCTTTTATGCGCTTTCTCCATTTTGTGCAAAGTGTCGACAGTCTGCGTGTATGTGTTTGTGTGTGTGTGTGTGTATTCGGAAAAGTGAGTGAATTCCGTCAGTCACTTCCAACTCAGCAACGGCGAAAACTGGGAAGTTGAAATTTTGGAATTATATTCCCACCTCATGTATCAACCTCTGGTTCTAAAATAATAGGTCATGCACGCTTAGGCCTCATGCGGAGGTTTTAAAGAAATATGCGCATTTTTTGGCTAGAAATCCATTTTGGGAGATGATAAACGTAGGAAGCTGGACTTCGCAGTGATATTCTCTATCAACGTGTGAGTTAAAGATTTCAAATTCAGCTATCTCGCATGGTTCAGTCATGTTGGCATCATACAAACTCGAAAGCTACTGGAAAAAAATAATAGCTGTAATTTTGCCAGAATATTTATCATCCGTCTGGGAAGTCGTGTACCTAAATCGAGTCTCGATTTGCACTTGCGACACACCTTAGGGCATATCAAAGATATCTGTGGCGAACTGGCAATTTTGCTTGACGGTCAAGCTACGAAGCTGAAACTTTGCAAGTATATCCTATACTTACATGTGATCTAAATTAAGCGTTGACACTAAATTCTCTGCACACGGACATGACGAACACTTATTTTTATCGCAACCTCAGAAGCAAGTGTATTTTTGCGGATTTTGACGTTCTTTTCATCACCAAATTTGCATTTTAAGATAAGTGGGCAACTACTACAACTCGGTTTGGCTGTTCTCGGCTCACCTCCGCTCTCCCCGCCGCTGCACGATCTGCCAGTTGACTCGCAGGTGGTGTGGTGGAGGGAGCGAGAAGAAGAAGGGAGAAGGTGGCAAGCGGAGGGTGGAGGGAAGAGGAGGCAGGGGAAGGAGGCGGGGCTAGAGGGGAGGGGTCGTAAGGGCGCAGGGGGAGAAAGGAAGGGCTAGGGGAAGGGGCTGGTGTATGAGGATGGTTGGCGCGGGGTCGGAGGCACAGAGAAAAGGTGGTTGGGTGGGTTGAGTAGGAACGTGGCGTGGCCACGTAGGAGAGAGGGGCGAGGGCGGGGGGGAGGGGGGGAAGGGAGGAGAAGTGATGGGCGGAAACGAGGAAAATCCGTGTTGCTGGCTTTTGGCGCGTATACGCGGGGCACGGAAAGGGCTCGGGAGAGGGGTACACTGAAGAGGGCACAGGATGGGGGAGAAGGGTTGGCAATGCATGGACATATTTTTTGGGTGTGGGATTCGAAACACGGGGAGCGGGTTGGGTGTGAGGGGGAGGGGGTGGGTATGCGGATTTCGCACGCAGGATTTGAGGCAGGGGAGGGAGATGAGTGGGTATATTGAATGGCTACGTGGCATGAGTCCTTTGGCAATTGCCTAGGCTATCTAAGGGGGGAGGGGGAGGGGGCTGACAGCTGGAAAGGAAGAAAACAAGAAAAAAGCAAAAGCAAAAAAGAAAGTATAATTGGCCAACGCACGGGCTGTCCGTGCGAAGATGCGTTTTTTGCATGGTTCCCCGCAGTTTTTGTTGCTACCCGCACT